ATCGCACGCCACCACTGCGCCGGCAACGGCAACGGGAAACCAAGATGAGGATGTGTACATCTATGGAGAAGGAGGAGTTGCGAGAGATCGTGCGATGGAGAGGATGGCAGAGTAGTTGCGCCAGTTGCAAGACAAAGTTGAAGGGAGGCCAGAGAGGAGAGCTCGAGGGCATCCTTTTGCTAGGGAGATCCTCGCCGCTCCTTTGCCGGCCAATTTCAAGGAAACCAACTTGGTGTATGACGGGTCATCGGACCCATCGAGGCATGTGAGGACATTTGAGAATATGGCTGTGTTGCATGGATATTCTGATTCTGTTTGTTGCAGGGCATTCTTATCGACCCTACGCGGAGGGGCGCTTGACTGGTTCCATCAGTTACCCTCGGGGTCGATTGTGGATTTTGAGGATTTCGCCAGCAAACTCACCAACCAATATTCGAGCGCGGTGGTGCAAGAGAAGACTTACTTAACCCTTATGGCGATGAAACAGGGCGAGAAGGAGTCGCTGAGGAAGTATGTTGCTCGATACAATAAAACATGTTTGGAAGTGCACTCTGCTTCAGATGAGGTGAAAGCGGGAGGATTGATTAGGAGTCTTAGAGCAGGGCCCTGCCGAACTTCTTTGGCAAAAACCCCGGCTCGATCATACGAGGATGTTCTAAAGCGATGCAGGAAATACATCAATCTGGAGGAGATGGAGATGGAGTTTGCAAAGCTCGAAGGGGTGTCCCAACCAGAACCAAAAAAGGAGCAGAACCACCCGAGGGGAAGATCACCAAGGAGAAACTCGCCTAAGAGGAGCGAGCGGAAGAGAGCGTCTCCTCGAAGAGGGAGTGGGGATGCGAAAGGGGAGAAGAGAGATGAATGGCAGAGGAGGCCGATGGTGTTCGAGAGGCAGAGGTATCACAACTTTACTCCTTTGAGGAAAGAAATGACAGAAGTGCTCGAGGCCATGGAGCAGAAGATGTCGACTGAGGACGTAACTTGGCCGAAGACAAGGTTCACCGGTCCACTTCGGCCCCGGTCGGATTTGTATTGTCGATTTCACAAGGATTACGGCCATACCACGGAGAACTGCAGGCATTTTAAAGATGAGATTGAGAGGTTGATTCGGCAGGATACCTGAAGGAGTTTGTCTATCACGACAGGGTGAGAGGAAAAGGCAGGAGGAGATGTAG